ACTGAACCTCTGGATAGCAGCCAGAAGCTTTAACCACTACAGCATCAGAGCATCTTCCCATAGGGTTTATAAGACTGTAAATCTTTAAGGAAGCAGACCGCCTCATCGTTCTGCCACGGAGCATCTGGTGGGTTCGAACTGCCAACCTTTTGGTTAGCCACTGAGTCACCACCAAACACAGTCAGAGCCCTTTAAATGATCATGGATAAAAGAGAGGGAAGAGATAAGTAGGAAATCTCAGTTAATTAAATGAACTAAGGTAGAATAAAATCTTTGGAATTTTAATACTTACACTGCTCACCAAACATGTCTGGATCTGCACCTTCCAGACATAAAGAAGGATTGCACTTCTATTTCCCTATGTGGCTAGTTTGGGTCATACCTGGCCAATAACTTGTGAGCAGAAATGAAGTCTCTTCTGCGTTAGAACACTTGATTCTAAGGCCAGGGTCTCCACTGATGTCTTTTGTTTTGCAATGGTTGATGGTTTATTCCTTATATATAATATTCTTTCTTATACTACTACGAGTTAAAGAATATATTTTATGCATTTAAAAATAACTATTGAACTGTAAACTAAGGACTAAGATGTAAGTTGTGAGATACAAAGGAAAACAGAGAAATTATAAGTTACTTTTTGGCTAGGTTTCCTGTGAAAATTCAAAAGCAGTGGTATTTATTTCAACACTTTTTATCAGTCAATCCTGTGAACATGTGTAATATTTTCATCAAATTTCTCTTCCAACCTTGAGGCTTCCCCAACTCATGGCAATGGTATTAGCCTGCCATCTAGTGGCAATAAGTATCATTGCAGGGCAATGAGGTTTTGTGTTTTGTTTTGTTTTTTTGTTTTTTAAATACAGGCATACCTAGTTTTACTGCTCCTCCTCGCTTTATTGCACTTTGCAAATATTTCTTTTCTTTCTTTTTTTTTTTTTTTTAAACAAATTGAAGGTTGTGGCAATTCTGTGCTGAGTTAGTCTATTGGCGACATTTTTCCAACAGTGTGTGCTCACTTTGTGTCTCTGTGTCACATTTTGGTAATTTTCACAATACGTCAAGCTTTTCATAATGCTATTGCACACTTACTAGATGGAAGCAAAGTGTAAACTAACTCTTATATACACTGGGAAAACAAAAAAGTCGTGTGATTTGCTTTACTGAGATAATCGCACTGTACCCAGAACTGGACCCGCAATATCTCCATGGTATGCCTATATTTGTGAAAATCCACAAATAAAAGCACCAAAACCAGATTTCAAGTGTTTGACTTTTTAAATTTCAAATCTTAAACATTTATCACAGAAAAAGAGTAATTTTGTACTTTTACAAGAATTGTTTATATTAAATGTAGTATAAGAAACACCCACCAGACACTCCTCGGAAGGAAGATGGGGCAATCTACTTCCATAGTGATACTGCCTCGGAAACGCAAGGAGGGGTCGCTATGAGTCGGGGCCGACTCGACGGCAAACAACAACAACAACATTAATAAACATATTTTTATGAAGGTATAATCAGAAGTTTGTAAAGACAAATACTTCATGATACTTCATTATCCATAAACATTAATCTTACAAAAATTGCAAATATTTTAGTAGGAGCTCTGTAGCATAGTGCCTAAGGCACTTGACTGCTAACCAGAAGACTGGTGGTTGAAACCCACCAGCCACTTCTGGGAAGGAAGATGGGGCAATCTACTTCCCTAGTGATACTGCCTTGAAAACGCAAGGAGGGATCGCTATGAGTTGGATCTGACTCAACAGCAGTGAGTTGGTTTGGTTTGGTTTGGTTATAGTTAGGAAAAAGAAAACACTGTTGTAACAATAATGATGATATAACA